CCTTTAAAAAAATGTCTTTAGTATTGGTCCTGATGTTTTTCCCTCTGGCTATCTCAATTTTAACAATTTACAATGTAGGTGTAGGAAATGGGAGAGGACATCACAGTCTCCCTTTATAAACAGCATGGATGTCTCAAAGGAAACTTGTGTCTGCAGGTAAAAGCTTACAGAAGTGACTCCATTCAGGATAGAAAAGCTGTAAGACAAAGAATGTTGAGCAGCTGTTTCCTGGCATAGGCAAGTCTAACCTGGAAAACTTTAAAAAAGTACTTCATAATGGACTAAATAGTTCTCCCTCCCAGTGGCTCAAAAAAAGTCAAGAGTGGCCACTCACTGCCCCCTTACTCCCTGTCTTTCTCCTAGGAGTAAAGTGCAGCCAGTGGTCGGAGGAGGCTTCGATGGTGTTTCGAAATCACGTGGAGAAGAAACCCTTGGTGGCATTGGTCCAGGCAGTTATTGAACACACTAACCCCTGGGACCGGAAAGTAGTGGTCTATCTAGTAGATACATCGCTGCCAGACACTGACACTTGGATTCATGACTTTATGTCACAGTATCTAGTAGAGCTTTCAAAAGTTAATTAATCACTGCTGAGACCTTAACAGCTAATGCAGATTGTTCTCTGAGCAATAATACAAAATGTGTAGCAGGCCCTTAAAACATCTTATTTTTACTATATGGCTCTGACTGTTGTGGAGGATTGAAAAGAATATGCTTTGTTTGATGAAAGATATTTAACAAGTTTTGTTTAACATGGTTGACTTTTCAAAGAAAATTGCACTTGAATTATTAATATAATATTAGAATAAAATGTTTAGCAATGTAAAACCTGATGTCTTAGTTTGCTTTGTATTGCTATCATAAACACCATGACAAAAAAAAAAAAAAAAAAAAAAAAAAAAAAAAAACAACCATTTAAGTAGAAAGGGTTTTTTTGGCTTCCATACTTATAATCCATCAATAGGGGACGCCAAGGCAGGGACTCAAGCAGGAACCCTTGGAACAGGAACTGAAACAGAGGCCATCGAAAAATGATGTTTCCTGGTTTTTTCCCTATGACTTGCTTGGTCTGCTTTCTTACACAACCCAGGACCACATACCCTGCCTTCCCACATCAGTCATTAGTCAAGAAAATGCCCAGTAGATTTGCCTACAAGCCAGTGTGGTGGAGACCTTTTCTCAGTTGAGGCTCCCCCTTCCCAGATGACGATGGTTACGCCAAGTTGACGCACTGACCAGTGCAGCTGACTATCTTATTACCTCCAGGCAGTCTAATCCTAAGTTGGAAGTGCTCACTTCCACTGGTGTCTGCCGTCCCCAATAAATGGAGACTGTAAGGATTTAACTTTGGTCCACTCTGGTGTAGTGATGGGTCCCAAAGAGAATTACCCCAAAAGCAGAAGATTTGTTCCCAGCGTCCGGCGCACCAGAACTGCTAACGGAGGAGCCAAGCACAGCACTGTGCATGTGCATTCCACAGCAAATGTGGAAGTCAGAGGAGAACTTTTGGGAGTTGGTTTTTGATCCTTTCATCAGGTTCAAGAATTGAACTCAAGTCATCAGTTTGTCAAAAAGTACCTTTATCTGCTTAACCATCTTGCCAGCCCTCACCCCAAATCTTACGTGGTTTCTCATTGTCCAGAGTCCAGACTCAAGACCCAGGCTTTCTTACCCCAGCCCTCCCTCTACACCTGTGTCCATCTACACTGCCCTTCATGTGGAGCCTGGACCCCACTTACCTCCATCCGACTACCAACCTTTCAAACAAGAATCCTTCCCTTCTAAACCATACTTGTTCCGTTTTCTCAGCCTGTCAATCATTCTGCCCCTACAGTTTTTCTTGTCCATACCTTTTCTGACCTCCCTGGATACCCATGAAACTTTCCCTGGGGCCCCTTCTACTCCACTGTACCTTGGTGTAGACTTGCTGTGTAGTCCAGGCTGGGTTCAAACTTGGGATCCTCCTGCTTCCAAGGTACTGGTATTATCGCAGGCCTAGCTCTCCAGTGTAGTTTGAGCATGTCTCTCCTGATGCTTAGTCTCACATTGAAGACATCTTGAAGTTCTCAATTAGAATATTAGTGAGTAGACAGCTATCTAGTTGTCTGTCTCAGTCATCTCAAGTATGACTGTCCCTTGGGACAAATCCTAGCCATCTGATTAGCCAGGGGCACACCATGGATACTTAACCACGTCTCGTGAATAGATGAGCTTTGAATTGTTGTCCTGCCTGGTAACGTGTACAGCCCACACTCACCCCTTCACTGATCCCTGGCTGACCTTGTAAGGTCACCACATTATGGAATCAGGAAGGACATGCACCATTTTAGCTTTTGTGACTGATATATTATCACCCCGTGTGTCATCCACACAGACAGAAGGACATTGTGAACGGTTCAGCATGTGCTGCCTTACTGGTGGACAGACAGGCAAGTGGATGGGTTGTAAGCTTTAGCTGTGGTTAGGATGGGGTGGAGAGCCCTGGATAAACACATTGAAGATATCTTGAGGCGCCCAATTAGAATATTAGAATAGACAACAAAGACACGGCAGGCATGGCAACAAGCAAAGTCAGGCTAAGGACTGTGCTCCTTACCCGGGCTGAGTGCACAATGAAAGTCTGACTTGAGCACACTGTGTTTGAGCTTGAATAGACTGCTGGGAAGATGCTCATGGGCTGTTGGAAATCAGAAGTGAGTGGACTTCAGGGGAGACAAACTTTGTTAATTTGTTTTTATTTGAGAAAATCTAGGGAAAACAATTACTAGAAAAAGAAAAGACCAGGTTTTAAAAAGATTTTCATCTTAATCATGTAAAAATTATTATAGTTTTAAAAGAATGTGTATTTAAAAATCATGAATACTTATGTTAATAGCAAATGTTTATTATGAAATAAAATTCGTACAACATAGCAAGATTTATGAATACTTATGCCAGTGATTAAAGTAATTATTTATAATGAAATAAAATTTTTTTCCAGAAAAAAATGTTTAAGTGAATTAAGGCATGTTAATATTTTTATAGTGATCTCTTTCTGGCAACAGAAAGGGTACAAATCCTTGAATTGCATGCAACCAAAGGAAGTCTTTTCTATTTAATTGACTTCAGAAACATTTCCATTCTTAAAGCAGTTAAGTTTGTTGATGTAAGGGTAAAATTAATGTGATATGAAGTAGCTTGACACACGGATGAATTTCATCCCTGTATTGAAGCCCAGAATCAGTTCCAGGTGAACTAGAGACCTGAGTGTGAGATGCTAAGGGAGGAAAGTGACACACACACGGCTGGCGGAGCACCTAGGAGCCAAGGACAGCTGTCCTCAAAAGATTGGAGGAGGGTGAAGGGCGTAGTGGAATACACACTTGTGTATTATATATGTGGTATATGACATGTAATCATACAGTGTTGATACATAGGTCAGTATATTAACCATGGCCAGTAAAAATGGCCAAGGAATTTGAACAAACATTTCACACCACACACACACACACAAAATCCAGCTCACCGATAAATAAAAAGATGTCAGCACATGTGGATTTGGGGCAAGGCAGATGAGAACCTCCATTGATGCCTTACTCTCTACCAGTTTAGCTACAATGTAGCAATTCTTGTTAAACCCTAGCGGTGATGGGAGCCACTTGCAGGTAGCGTTGAGCCCAGTGCTCATCTAGAGCTGAGCTTGGGCGCTGACCCTGCGCTTCCAGCAGCCATGTGTGGACCTGTACAGGACACTAAGAAAGCGATCTCAGCCGCTCAACAATATCCCAAATTTCCACCGGTAATAAAGTAGACTTTTAAAATGTCTTCAGATGGAAATACTTTATTATGTCCACATGGTACATTTGCTGTGAAGCCTAGAACCTGAACGGTAAGAAAGAATAGTGCATCACAAATTAACCTCCGGCGGTGAGCAAGGGACACCAACCTGACAATAAGGGCCTGACTCCTGGCAGGGTTCGTTCAGAAAGCAGGTGTCTTAGGAGGGAGGAGAGGGGACAGATTCGTGGTTGGCATGCACAAGGGTTCTTAACTATAAAAAAAAAAAAAAAAATCAGGAAGCTACACACTGAGGTGTGCCCAGAAAGTGTTTACACCCACAATAAAAATGCTGAAAAAGAACTCATTGAAAATGGTAAGTCCCTGTTTTGTATATAAATACAGGCCGCTTATCCCTTGGGGAAATACTCAGTACTTCCCAGCATTTCTCCTTAGCATCTACAGCAGAATTAGGGCTTCCCTCACCAAAAAACGTTTCGGTAATCCCTCCGAGACCTCTCCATTGGTTTGGATTCTTTGTTATGAACCATTTGTTTATTGAAACATTTAGGGCTTCGGTTTGGGTCTAAGTGGTTTGCCCTGGAGAACACATTAGCCTTTTAAGAAAGCGGAACTTTCGTTCCGGTTATTTTAAGCGGTGATTTCGGACGCCCCTTTCCCTCAGCGCTGTGTGGGAAGAAGTCTGCGTTGGAATCTTCGCATCCACTGATGACGGTCATTAAGGCCTGGGCGCGTGCCAGTCCTGGCCAGCCTGCTTGGGGGGGGGGGGGGGGGGGGGG